GATGCAGATACGGGAGTATCTTGGAATTCTTGGTTGCCTACTCTTCTCGTACCTAATGTATAAGTAAATCTGAATCTCCGATCACCAGCAGCTCCTGCACGTTCATGTTAATGGCCATTTTGAGCCCTAAGATGCAGGCCTCATACTCGGCCATATTGTTAGTGCAGGGGAACCTGAGTTTTGGCAGACACTGGATAATGCTGACCGGTTTCTGATACCATGACCGCTCCTATACCAACTCCTTTGAAGTTTGCTGCTCCATCGAAAAACATTCTCCAACCGTCATAGGATTCTGCAATGTCTTCTCCTATGAATGATACCTCTTCATCAGGAAAATACGTTTTCATGGGTTTATATTCTCCATCCACGGGGTTTTCGGCAAGGTGGTCTGCCAGTGCCTGTCCCTTGATCGCCTTCTGAGTTACGTAGATAATGTCGAGCTCACTCAACAGGATTTGCCACTTGGCTAGCTTGCCGGTGGGCATGGGTTTCTAAAAGATGTACTTCAAAGGATCCATCCTTGATATGAGATACGTGGTATAGGCACAGAAGTAATGTCTCAGCTTCTGAACTACCCAAGTCAAAGCACAGCAGGTAAGTTCCAAAAGAGAATACCGGGCTTCATATGGAGTGAACTTCTTGCTGAGATAATAAATGGCTTGTTCCTTTCTCCTCGTTTCATCATGTTGCCCCAAAACGCAGCCGAAAGCTCCATCTAACACTGCAAGGTAGAGTAATAAGGATCTACCTGGCTCGGGAGGAACTAGGACTGGTGGTGTTGACAGGTACTCCTTGATTCTATCGAAGGCCTTTTGGCAGTCATCGGTCCATTTGGTAGCGGCGTCCTTCTTTAACATCTTAAAGATTGGCTCACAGATAACTGTAGACTGTGCTATGAATCGGCTGATGTAGTTCAGACTTCCCAAGAAACTCATCACATCTTTCTTGTTCTTTGGCGGTGGTAATTCTTGAATGGCTTTGACCTTCGATGGATCCAGTTCTATTCCTCGGCGGCTCACAATAAGCCCAAGCAACTTCCAAGCAGGAACCCTAAATGCACACTTTGTGGGGTTTAGTTTCAGGTTGTACCTCCGTAGTCTGTTGAAAAACTTCCTCAGATCATTTATGTGGTCAGTGGCCTTCTTGGATTTGATGATAACATCATCCACATATACCTCTATCTCCTTATGTATCATATCATGAAAAAAGGTTGTCATGGCCCTCATGTAGGTGGCCCCTGCATTCTTCAGGTCGAATTGCATCATCTTGTAACAATACACTCCCCATGGCGTAATGAAAGCCATTTTCTCAGCATCTTCCTCATCCATCCAAATCTGATGATAACCAGCGAAGCAATCCACGAACGACTGTAGCTCATGCTTGGCGCAATTGTCAATCAGGATGTGTATATTCGGCAAAGGGAAGCTGTCTTTCGGACTGGCCCGGTTGAGATCCCGGTAGTCGACACAGACTCTGACCTTCCCATCCTTCTTTGGTACTGGCACAATGTTGGCTAACCATGTCGGGTACTCAACCACCCTGAGAACCTTAGCTTTGATCTGCTTGGTGACTTCTTCCTTGATTTTCAGACTCATATCAGGTTTGAGCTTTCTGAGCTTTTGCTTTACCGGTGGACACATTGGATTGGTTGGCAATTTGTGAGCCACGATAGACGTACTCAGACCGGTCATGTCATCATACGACAAGGCGAATATGTCCTCATACTCCTTTAGAAACTCTGCGTATGCTTTCTTCTCTGATGGCGATAAGTGAATGCTGATTCGTGTTTCCTTGACATTTTCTGCATCTCCCAGGTTAACAATTTCGGTTTCGTCCAGGTTGGACTTAGGTCTGTTTTCAAAGTTCTCAACTTCTCTGACAATCTCCTCAGGTATGTCATCTTCTTCTGAATCAATGTCCGTTTGTTGC